ACTTGATATTAATATTAATATTAATTTTTATATTTTTAAAACATATGTACATGACGAAAAATATACTCTCAACTTCTATTTTTATGGTAAAAATTCATTATTGATTAATTAACTAATAATTAACAATATTTAAAGCCCTAATTAAACAATAAAATATCCCAGAAAAAAAATTAAACAATAAAATAAAAAACTTCAATCCCCAAACCAAAGGTTGTCCATCCAGCCATCTCCTCTGGGGAAGTTCATCTTCTCCGGTGAAGGTTACTCTTCTCTGAAGAACCAAACAACTTATAACTTATCATCAATTTTAACTAAAAATTGTAATTGGAAAAAATCTACATGCTCAATTTCAACATCAACTTTTACATGAATTATACTGACATTAAGCTAATTAGCAAAGAATTAGAAACCACATGAACCCAAATTCGTTCTTCAACGCCAAGGACCCAGATCTACTCTTCAACACTAGGAGAAAGAGGGAAACAAGATTTACAAACATCTGGGTCTAAGCTCCATTTTCCTTTGTTAAAAACCTATATTAGATAAAAAAAATTAAAACGAGGTTATGCAGAAAAACTGGGAACCCAGGCGTCAAGGAGCTTAGGTCATCGTCAGCCCACAACGTGAGGGAATCCAAATTTGGTTCCCTTATCAGTGGGTAACGCCCCTAAAGTAAAGCTCGCTGTGAGTTCCCCTTGATTCTTGCTCCATTGGCTCGCATAAGAGCAGATAGGAAGGATGGAGGTATGCCGGAGGAACAGGTCGGAAGAGCAGAGCACGAAGCTCGACCTTCTCTCACTCTTTCTTGCTCTGGTTTTCAGTCACGGGTGAAACCAGTCGTCGGATCCATCGGCGCTGATTCTTCTGCCTTTAAGATCAAGGGGAAGGGTAGGGGAAGAAGCCTGGTATAGGGGCAAATGTGTAATCTTATAGTTTTGTTTTAAATTTATTATTTAATTATTAAAAATTTTAAAATATTTGGTTAATAGATAGGATTTGACGTTTTTTTAATTTTTTGTCCAACTAAGCTTTGGGTCCCATATTTTCATTAATGCCATGTCATTTAAGAGTTTGCCAAATCATTAATTTATCTGATGTGGAATTACAAAATAAGAATTTCCTAACGGTAACATAGGTCACCTCATGAATCTGACTTTTCGAATCAAGTGGCTTTAGTTACGTTTGTAAGGTTCATGTTTCTCTCCCACTCAGGGTAACGGTTCGAGCCGAATCCATGATAAAATGTTAAAAAAATAATAATAATAAAAAACATAGGTCACCTCATTGTCAACTTTAAGATAAAAAAGTACATTTTTAAGAGTTAATAATTTATTTATTATTATTCATTTTTACATTAGCCTTTCACCTTGTCATTTTTTTAATCACTTCTTGCATCTCTATTAATTATTATATATATATATATATACACACATACGGTAATTCCAAATCTTCCTCTTCTTTTATCTATATTAAAAATGTTTTAAGTCAAAACATAAATACCATAACTTTTTAGCATTACTCCATTGATATTTTTTTACTTGGGTAACTTTACCCACCTCTTATTATTTTTTCCTATAACACCATCTCTTAATTTACTATTGCATATTTTCTTTCTATATTTATCACTCTAAACTATATCTCCATCACTTTTATTTTTTATATTAATAATTTATTTATTTATTATTTTTTTTCTCCTTATCCCTTTCTCTATTATTCTTCCTTAACCATCCCTCTCCATCCATCTTTATATATATTTTTTCACCTAATTTTCCACTTTCTATCTATTAGTAGGTATTTTATATTTTCTCACAATTACAATAACATATAAATATCTTAAAATCACAAATAATTTAGTAATTCATGTAATAGATTTATATACATATCCACATTATAAGTTTTACCTAATTTGTATTGGTAATTTATTCACTATTATTCCTTCTCCCATTATTCTCTCATTTCTATCATTCTTTCTTAATTATTCTTTTAAATATTTATCTATCAAATTATATCTTCTCCTTTTTTTTCTTACTCTAGTTTTTTCCTCTTTGAACTTTTCACTTACCTATATTTTACTTTTTATCAATTTTTCTTGAGACTCCTTCTCTTACCTTTTTTTTAATCAGTAACACCTTTCTCTTACCTTTTATTTTTTTATTTTATAAATAACTCTTTCTCTTACCTTATTCTCTCATATTTTATTAATATATTTTGTCTATCTATTATATATATATTTATCATTTCCACCCCAATTTCTCTCTCTCTCTCTCTCTCTCTCTCTCTCTCTCTCT